TTTTTAAATTTGAGTATAGTTGACACACCATGTTACATGAGTTTCAGTAGTGTATAACATAGTGATTGGACAAATTTATACATTATGCTATGTTCACACGTATACCTACCATCTGTCACCATACAACACTGTGACGATATCATTGACTATATTCCCTATTCTATTCTGCACCTTTTATTCCTGTGACTTATTCCATAATTGGAAGCATAGGTCTACCACCCCCTTTACCCATTTTGCCCATCCCTCCACCCATCTCTGCAGACATCGGTTTGTTCTCTGTACTTACAGTTCTGATTCTGTTTTTTGTTTGCTTGTTTATTTATTTTATTAGATTCCACATATAAGAATTCTTTATTGGTCTGACTGAATTCATTTGGCATAATACCCTCTAGGTCCATCCATGTCATGACAAAAGGCACAATCCCATTCTTTTTTATCACTAATATTCGTATGTGCGTGTGTATGTGTACATGTGTGACCTCTTCCTTATCTATTTGTGTATTATAGATAGTAAGGTTGCTTCCATATCTTGGCCGTTATCCCTATCTTCTGTTTAAACGTTTATTTATTTATTTTGAGAGAGAGAGTGAGCAGGGGAGGGGCAGAGAGAGAGAGGGAGAGCAAGAGAATCACAAGCAGGCTCCACACTGCTAGCACAGAGTGCAATCATTGTTATCCTAATCTTAACAGTTGAGAAAACTGAGGTGCAGAGAAGTTAACTGGCTGAAGTTTTCATAGCAAATAAGGGGCAGAACTCGTATTTAATCCAGTGCTGTTTGGTTTCAGAGTCCATCCACTGAACTGTCAGACCATACTACCTCCCTGCTGACTTATTTGATCTTCTTCCTATTGATGCCTCCACCTCTCACATATATCTGAGTGAAACTAGAATGCCAGTTGTCTTTAACTTTCTTTCAGTGACAGCTTACTCTGACAACATAGGCTGGACTAGCTGCCCTTCCTGTCCTATTGTCCCCTCTCATGTAACACCTAATGTGCCAGACTGTCGTAACTTTTTTTTTCTTCGTTCCCCAATTGATAGTAATTCCTGAAGCAATAATTACTGAAAGACTGGCATACAACACAGTGTCTGGAATATGTATAGTAGAGATTCATTACATGTATGTTGGATGAATGGATACTTCTCATTGTTTTTAGGTCTGCCTGGTGGCATTTCAGGCTGCGTTAAAGCAATCATATCCACAACCCACCACCGCCACCATGACTCTAATATCTACTTTTACAATTCTCCAAATTGTGACAAACTTCATATTTCTCTTTGAAATACTTTAAGAAAGCATAAAAAAAACTATCCCAAGGGGGGAAAAGGGTCTTACCTTCTAAATCTTCTTTCTCAAAGTGTGTTTTGAGAATAGAACGAGTTCCACCTCTATCCACAACTGCCTCTTCATCATTTCTCTGTAGAATGGGAAGAAAGAAGATCAAATGACATTTCATTTGTCTTTATCCACAGGGATACTTTCCAAGACCCACTGTAGATGCCTGAAATCACACTAATACCAAACCCTATATAAACTATGTTTTTTGTTATGCATACATACCTATGATAAAGTGTAATTTATAAGTAAGGCACAGTAAGAGATTAACAATAAGAATGAAATAGAGCAATTATAACAATAGCCTATAATAAAAATTATGTGAACATGGTCTCTCTCTCTCAGAATATCTTATTGCACTATACTTACCCTTTTTGTGATGACATGATATGATAAAATGCCTATGTGATGGGATGAAGCAAGGTGAATCATGTATGTAGGCACTATGACATAGCATTAGCCTACTATTGACCTTCTGATGGTATCTCAGAAAGCAGATCATCTGCTTCCTGGCCATAGTAGACCTCAGGTCAATCACAGATAAAAGTGGACTAGTGTACATATATTCCCATAATTCCCTTAATTTCAGAAAATAAACTATAATTTAAATCCAATATTTTAGGGGTTTAAGTCAATCACTCAAATGTAAACAACTTTCTATTTGATTATCGAGTGTTAGTTTAAAAAGGAGATTAAAATTAAGTTAACCACATATTCAGAGAAGAATGTCATTTGACTTTCCATGAAATCGAAGATAGTCAAACATTCCAGTTGCCATCATTTGTTAGTGAAATGAAAAACAGAAAACAGTTATCCTGTCAATTTTGTAACATGCATTTTTTTTTATCTCTGATAAAGAATTCTTGTTAACAAGAATGACATTTGGACTATACAAGGAAAATATGGAAATCATTAGTATTAATGCCACTAATGCTATGGCAAGGTGAAATAATTTCATTGCCATTTAAAATGGGGTTGGGGGAGGGGAGGGTGGGTGATGGGTATTGAGGAGGGCACCTTTTGGGATGAGCACTGGGTGTTGTATGGAAACCAATTTGACAATAAATTTCATATATTGAAAAAATAAAATAAAATAAAATAAAATAAAATAAAATAAAATGGGGTTGGGGAATCGAATCTCTTGAAAGCAATTACCAGCAATTATTAGGTAAACTACAACTCTAATTACTTTGCTTCAGTCTAATGCATTTTATTCAAACTAAACTTTTAATTATAATCCTATACATTACACTTTCTCTACACAGTCTCTCTCTATATAGAGAGAGATAGGGTTTTTTGTATTTTGTTTTGGGGTTTTTGGGTTTTTTTTGTTTTGGGGGAGTTTCTTTTATTTAGAATGGCTGGATGGAGGTTCTCTCTTCTGAGCAGTGTACATACACTGAAAACAATATACTCACTGATTTGGTATTCAATAAAATAATGGGGGGGAGGGGAAAGTATAATCCATTAAACCATGCAGGAATGAACAAAATACAAAATAGTGAATGAAGTGAAAGACAGATTATTTCCAAATTTTATTTGATTGTGAATATCTGTATAAAAATTGCTTTAAAAGTGAACATTGAACACAAAGGAAAAAAGGTAGGAAGGGAAAGGAAAGAAAACGAAAAGGTAGGCTAAAGATGAATAAATCTTCCAACATGTATTTCTAAGCCTGTTCTAGTATATGACTATTAGAAAAAATTAAAGATTTCTGTTTCTTCTTCAAAAGCTTTAAATTCCCATGCATAATCTTGATAAAGATTTGGCCTCCATGTTTTAGAAATCAGTATTGTAAACTGTAGGATTACAGAGTAAGGACCTATTCAACGTAGAAAGATCAGCTCTCCTATGCTTCACACACAGCAGACACACAGTAGAAAAACATGGTTTATAGCCTGTAGTCCTGTGTCTTTCAGACAACATGGGCTGAGACAGGTCAGGGCAGTGCCTGAAATCAGAGCGAAAGAAACCTATACCACAAATGAGAGAAAACACGAAAATTAAGATATGATTCAGAGCCTACTGTTATTGTATTTGGCAAAGTTTTAAAAATCTGTTGGTTTGAGGGGCGCCTGGGTGGCGCAGTCGGTTGGGCGTCCGACTTCAGCCAGGTCACGATCTCGCGGTCCGTGAGTTCGAGCCCCGCGTCGGGCTCTGGGCTGATGGCTCAGAGCCTGGAGCCTGTTTCCAGTTCTGTGTCTCCCTCTCTCTCTGCCCCTCCCCCGTTCATGCTCTGTCTCTCTCTGTCCCAAAAATAAATAAATGTTGAAAAAAAAATTAAAAAAAAAAATCTGTTGGTTTGAGCAAAATAGCAATAGAAAAACTAAAGACTTATATATTTATATAATTTTCCTGAACTAGACAAATGCAAATTTCAGCCTCTCTAGAATCTATTCCTGATATGTTTACAAATTGCATTTATCCTCTGTACAAGACATATTCAAATATATGTCACATTGGAATATATCTCTGCCCTCCAGGGTGTTAGGAAGAATGCCAAAAGCTAAGTCATGCATCCGTGTTCAGAGGTCAGAAGAAGCATTATTCCACCATACATTACAGTGGCAGCCTTTTAAAACAATTGCATAATGGGAAGTTTTATACAGATGTTTGCCTCTGTATATAAAATATTTAATTCTTATTTCAAGGGCCTGAATCAATTTTCAACTTATACAAAACAGTTTTCTCCTTACTTATATACATTACATATACTATTCACGTACAAAAGATAATTCTACTGAACAGTTAATGTTAGGATATTGAGATAAAATAAAATTTTGCAGACGTAGAAGTGGAATATAAATAGGAAATAATTGGTTATTTAATTACAATATGAATTACAAGCTGAAGTGCCCTAATTTTAACGTTTCATTGATGGAAAGAAAAGAACTTGAAGCTAGAATATGAACGTAACTCAATGTAAGTGACTCATTTTGCAGTTTCATAGAACTTTAAATACTCTCCAGATAGACCATAGAAACATCAAATGTCAAATGTCTGATCTTTTAGGTTGAAAATTCCCAAGATACAACTTAATACTAATACATATAGTGAAATTCCTCTACTGTGGAGATAGTTCAAAAGATTATTTCAATATTACTGAAGACTTTTTACTCCTCTTCCTCCCTATGACCAAGAGCAAGTAAGCAAGGGTGTGATGAATGAAGACAATGCAGGGACATGTGACACTGGGCACCAGACTGTGTGGTAATCCCAAATACACCAGTAAGAATATTTCTAATTCATTTTATATTGCTACCCTTTTTAGATTTGCTGAACATCAAATACATTAATGTACCCTAATATCCATATGTATTTACTTACTTAGAACAAAGTCTAGCACCAAGAGAAAACACATAAATCTATTGCATTGCCTCTCAATACAATTTACCCTTGCTACACTATTGGCTAAACATTTATTCCAGTATATAGTATAAGACAATGTTTTAAAATTTGGGGTGGGTGGCATGACCCATAGTGAGAAATATATATTCAACACAGTCACATATTCATGTTATCAAAACAAAGTTTCACAAACCAACATTTACCCTTACTATAAACAATGTGGTATGATATTTTCTATTCCAAGATATTCTGTTTCATTTAAAAATACTAGTCACTATCCATTAAATTTATTTCAGTACTTAAAAATTAGTGGTACGGATGCCTGGATGGCTCAGTCGGTTAAGGGTCCAACTCTTGATTTCAGCTCAGGTCAGGGCCTCGCGATTCGTGAGTTTGAGCCCCTCGTCGGCTCTGGCTGACAACGTGGAACCTGCTTGAGGTTCTCTCTCTTCTTCTCTCTCTGCCCCTCCCTGTTTGCACTCTCTCTTTCTCTCTCTCTCCCAAAATAAATAAATAAACTTTTTAAAAAATGAGTTATGACCTGTTATTTGAAAAACACTGGGATAGACTATGACCCTGGGACAGAGTAACAGCAATTAGTTCACACAGAAATCACATCTTAAATCCATTTACATAGGCCTCTAACTAAATGAACAAATAGCAATACTATATTTTTCAAATCAATATTTTAATTTTTGAAGTTTCTGTCATGTTAAGTGTAGGGACACATTATGTAATTACATATATATCTTTTGATGAACTGTTTTCATTTTTTTTCCCAACAAGAGAGTAATGGTTTGCTTTTCCTAGTTCCACTTAAGTACTTTTCTCCATGCCTTCCCAAGAAAGTAGGAACAAATAGTATTATCTAAGATCCTCTCCAGTTAAACTCTGCTTATGACTAAACTGAATTTGTATTCAACTATTTTAAGAGCAAACATCATATAACTGACATAACCAAATATAATTTATAATTTATATGTAGAAAATTATAATTTTCTACAATTTGATTACTTCTAAACCTTAATGTTAGAAGTGTCTTAATACACTTGTGTTGAATCCAAATGTATGTAAATGTAAATTGGGAATATTTCTACCTCCAAAGAAAGTCTTTAAAGGGAATAGTTTGCTGTTATTATTTTTACTGAACAATTACTAGAGAGCAATAACGGAAAAAATAGCTTTCTAGCTCAGCTGTCATATTTGAAGTGACCTTGAACCAGTACAGTCTCTCATGAAAGAGCAATTAACATGGGCTAGCACATTTAGGTGTTAAAATATTTAGGAAAAAATATCAACAATTTCTTCTATAATTGTTTGTAAATATCATGAAGCTCTCTATGAGTGTACAAAAATGCATTTTTTTCCTGATTTACCATAACTCTTGAGCACAATATCCACAGAAACAAACTTTTCTAATTTTATCAAAATCTAACAGTTAATCCCATGAGCAGAACAACTCAAACTTTTCATGTCCTTTTGATAATTCTCATCTCATTTGCAAATGAGTTAATAAAAGACAGAGCAGTTCATTTTCATTTCATTATTCTTCCCTGGACTATTTATCACATTAATTTTTTTAAAGCAACCTATCCTTCAATAAATGGGGCTGAGAAAACTGAACAGCTACATGCAAAAGAATGAAACTGGACCACCTTTTAACACTACACACAAAAATAAATTGAAAATGGATTAAAGATCTAAATGTGAGACATGAAAACATAGAAATTCTAG